ACGTTTAATGCAAATTCGCACTAAGCACACTGTTAGTTTCGTTCGTAACAGTAGACTAATTGTGGTAGAGCTTGTGTGAAATTACAAAAACAGTTCATATAAATTGGACTGGCAAGAAATTAATTAAAAGTATAGGACGAAAAAGATAGATGAAGAAACTAATTTTCAGATTTAAGAAAAGTACTTAGTAATCAAGGCACTGCCATAAAAATATTATGTAACCCTAAATTCTATAACACAGACGTTCTGTAGACGTAATTAAAAGAACGAGACGAGAAAAAAGTTACTATATTATAGTAACTTTTTTCTCAGTTTGTCCTAAAAGGCTTGAATCAATCAAAACAACACAGCCATAGGTAAAAAGTTATGTTTTTGATATCAAATCAAATTAAATCATTATTTGCATTACATGTGTGGTTTGACATTTGACAGTTGTCAATTTTCCACAACTTACAAAGCATTTAGTGTACAAGTGGCCTAAAGAACAGCATAAGTAAACTCTGATTATTATGAGAGACGCAAGACCCTAAAAGGTTTAACGTCCCGTGAAAGATAAGATGACGGGAATATTGCGATTTAAATATATCTGACGACAAAGTCGGGGAACTTCCAAACGATAATACCTAAACTGAGATGACTTTGTAACTTAAGCGTTAAGAAAGTTTCAGATGTTTTAGGGAATAGTTTTTTTTTTAACTTTTTCTCTTAGCTTAGATTTTCGTCATGTTTTGTAGGTTAAGTTGATCTCTTTTAATGTCTATTTAGTTCTAACTACTAACATAAAAACTGCGGGCTAAAATCCAAAGAAACAATTTGTTTTAGTGTTAAAATCGAACCTAGGCTCTTTCTAACCACAAATTCATGACGTTATTGTTTAAAGTCTGAAATATGCCTACTTTTGAGAAAAGTGTAAATGTTTAGTAATCCACAAAACCGTGCAAAATCAATTATAAACGTATGTCTTATAAACTCGGTAAATGATGTAAAACTTCCAAAGGATACGCATAGAGTAACATTAAAGTTTGTTCTCTTTACTTGGTAGTTGGTTCTAAGAGAAATAAAACTGTCATGTGCCTCAATTATTATTTTCTACATAGAATAAGATCCATCATTAGACCGTAACAAGTTTTAACTTTTGCGAATCCCTTTCATGTGATCCGATCCTTTCCCATCCCAAACGATCTGAAGATGTATTTGAATTTTTAATAACGCACCAGCACCAGCCTCTCTTGTTAGTTGTTTGTAATTGGGCGGACTCGGACGTCCGGAGTGTCCGGGCCTCGGGCGACTGCGGGTCTACTCCGAAACGCTGTTTACGTAGTTTCGAGTCTATCTGTCACGGTCGCTCATACTGCCTTCTCGCTTTGCGTGAGAGGGATGGCAATATTCGAAGCTTTAGATATTTTCGGAGTAACCCTTCTGCTTCTGGGAAACTTTCCTCCCTAAGGAACTCCCGGTGCAGGGTACATTTGAAAAGGAGCAGGGGCATTGCATTTCGCATTCGGTCCGGACTCGTCCAGATTTTTGTTTAAAACGAGTGTTTTAAAGTTTGGTGAGGGTGAAAAGGCTGCTAAATGATTTGTTATTACGAGAGACGCAAGACATGGTTGGCGATTAGATACGAGTAGTTCAGTTTTAGGTACTTGATTTTGGACATTATTTAGTTCAGGATTAAATTAGAGGAGTGATTTAGAGTTAAAAAAGGTTTAGGTTAGACTCACTAAGCTCTATAAATTTTAAAAAATATTTTTTTTTATGGCAGAAAAAGTCGCATTTGCCATAACATTCCAAAAGAGAAATACTTACATAGTTATTATAAGATTTTAAACTTTCGCGTTCCATTTCATAATAATATTACCTTATATATTTCACTTTTTTTGGAAATTGGTTAGCTTTAATTAAGAACGTTTTAAATTTTCAGCAGCTACGATAATCTTCAGTTTAAACCGTAACAATAATCATGCCCATAAGATAAGGTTTTAACTTTATTCGAACGTTACATGCTGTTTTGGGTTAACTTTTGAGTCTGTATACTTTCAACTATAGGCACTTAATGGGTACTAAAATCTGTCCATACACTACCCTCACCTGTTCCGGACCACTTGTGACCAAATAGTGCAATCCAATTATTTAGACAATTAGGAGACGACCAAGTTCTCAGGTGTTAGAGGCTAAACAAGGCACCCTCCATTAACTAGTTAGACAGAATTTTAATTACTTTTAGTTTGAAACTAAATCTGTTTTGATATATAAGTACTATAGTTACGTTTTATGTTTGCATGGAAGAGGCAACTTCTGTATCTCGGCAATAAGTAAAAAGTCCAAATGTTTTGCAAGCTTCTTCATAAATTAGTTACGGTCACCCTCTAGTAATTTTTATGCAGCTACTAGCAACAAAAATTTAAGGCTAGCTAGCCAACAGCGAGCAAAAATGAGTACCTACCTACTGCATTTATAAAAAAACTGTTTTTATTAACAATGCATTTCCCCAGTACACTCGTCCATTGATTAAATTAGAAGTAAGAATGAAGCTGTCTCAATAATTCATTTGTTACCTTCTAGGTACAGCAAGCGAATGCTGATGAATTATTTACAGCCAGCCTATTGCAATACAATAAACCTCCATGTTTAAGCCATTAGTCGGATGCCATCCCATTAAATAGCGATTGGACGTAGTCGCCATGCTAACTCTATCTTTAACGCTTGGATATTGATTTATATTATACTGATTGCTTTTAAACTGAGAAACGGAATGTGTAGTAATGTGTTTTAATGCTGTTATGTCCAATCCAATCAGTTAAGTGTGAACTAAACATAAGGTACTTAATTACCTATGTATTTATAGTTCTTCTATCTTGACGACTAATAAAGCGCTACACAAAATCCGTGCGTACAGTGAAAGAATGTTTGCATGAATGCAAAGTAGACATATAAGTAACAAACATCCATCCATCCATTCTCACAAATTAACATTTAATATTATTATTATTATTAGGACTTATTCGCCCACAACGTCAATATGTGCTTTATACCCACATTTTTGATAATTTAAAGCAATTTAAACTAATTTTGTACGATAGTACATACGAAAGAATATTCAATTCCCGTTAAAATGTAGTTTCGTAGAACGGATTCTTAAAAACGTATTAAAGTGCTTCCGATTAATTGGTAATCCACAAACTTACTTTTTCTTGATCCGTTATTATTTCTTTGATTGTTATATCCAGTTGTACAAACATCCTCAGTTTTATAGAACAATTTCGTTTGATACTTAAATGTTCTGTAACGCATATAAAATTAGTGTAAAAGTCTGCAAGGAATGGATTGTACGCAATATTTATTTTATTAGGTACATTGGAATTGCTTTCAGACTGTGTCAATTTTAAAATTATTTTCAATCGTTGAAACGGAGTGAGTATCAAGTACTTTGTATTTGTAAACGAAGAAAAATAAAATTTTAAATTTTCAAATACCAAAAAGTAATAATTTTATAATAGTGAAGAGGAGAGATTCTTTCAATCGTCATTTTCAATTCACTTTTCTTTGTCATACAAAACGAATCTGAAAATATTCCACACACTTACCATAAACAAGTCGTTATAACTTGTAAACGTTACTCCGTTATTTTAACGATCATATTGGCAATTACCGATGTAGGCCGCGGTTTGTCCAATCGAACGCTTTCGAAATCGCAGTTAGTGTCGATCCTGCGTGGGCGCACTTACAACATGTCCTGTGAACGGGTGGGGGTGGGCAATGGAGTTTGTTGATTTATCGATAGTAAGTTCGCTATCGTTATCGTTATCTCTATGAACACGTGGAGTTCCGAGATCAACTACGTGGCAAGCCTGACGGGGAAAGATAGAAGATCCCGTTTTTACGAGGCAAAAATATTTGTGCTGGGTGATTGGCATGTATAATTGGCATGATTAATAATTAACTATCAAAAGCGAAAGCGAAGTTTGACCGCAAACTCAGCTGATGTTAGTCCCAGTTTCTACAAAATCGCAAAGAAGTTAATATGTGATTGAATGATTTTTCCTCTCCGCTTTGGTGGAAACCGAGATTAAAATATGAATACTGTTTCTTATGCGTCAGCATCAACGTACAAGAGCTTTTAAATTCTTTGCAATAACCATAAATAGTTATGGTAGGTTTAAATTTTAATCTCATAGTCACTTTATAAACATCTCACCTACCAAAATTGACTGACAGACTACGTATTACATAAGGAAACTACTATTTCATACAAAGCCAAAAACATTACAATGTACAAGCATTTATCGATAAGTGCTCGGAACATCATTAGATTTATCGGCGCATAAACAAGCGTTATGATAGCCAGTTACTCGACAAATGTAGCAATAAACCTCACTTTAATTAAACGTTAATTTGAATTGCAAGATAGTTGCTCGTGGTTATTTTGTTTGTGGCTGCTAAGTTACTTAGGCTGAGTTGCACCACCTAACTTCGACCGTAACTTTAACGATAACCGGTGTTTTTTGTATAGAGTTTGACACATTTTTGACGTTTGTCAAAGTTAAAGGAAGATGGTGCAACCCATCCTTAGTATTTATGTGTTACGTCTTGGTTTAAGTGCTTGTAATACATGGATCTTCTTTCATGGCAGTATTTAAAGTATATTAAGGGTGTGAGCCCCATGGTAGCCTTTTTGAGACCTATAAGCGTCTCTTATCATTAAATGATTATCAATTTTTTGCTAATTAATACATTGAGTAAGCTAGCAAATGTCTTAATACTTAACCAAAGAAGTAAGATTGAGACACAGTTTTTATTGCTGTGATTGTCCCATCTGGAAACCCAAAACTAACTAGATGTCCGAATTAAAAGAGTCATAATATAGCATTATCACTATACCCCATATATTTGGAAAATGGTCCATAGAATTCGAAAAAAAGTCAATATTTCGAGAAATAATAACAAAATTTTCCTTCATCATCTCAATCTTTCTTGCGCTCATATTTTTACATACGAGTAAACTAAGCAGTCTCCACATTCTTAATGTGAAGTTCAGTTTTTCTCCACACGCTGTCTACAATGTGGTTAAAACTTCATCATTTATGGATGGATGTAAGAAGAGGAATAAATTAATAAGCGGCTGCATATTAGCATGCAAGTATACCGCAACGTGGCTGCGATGCCTGTCCAATATAAATTCCTTGGACCACTGTCGCGGAAGCAGGGTGACCATAATTTCAATGTTTTTGCGACTTTTATTTTACATTTCATAAAGTAGGGGTGCGGGTTGGAGCTGAACTGTCGCTGGTATGGAGGCGCTTAGTGATTTTAATTACCTACTTTTTATTACGAACATTATAATAAAAAAGTAGGTAATTAAAATCACTTAGCGCCTGATAAAACCTCACAGATTGTTTTAGAAGCTGAATAATAATATTCATAGTTCATAATACTACAATATTCAGTTATTAATTATCACTAAAAAAATTCTAAAATTAATTAGGCATGCTTTAAAATCATAAACCAATTCATAACATTTAAATTCCAGTAAAAAACATAGATACTCGTAATTGCCACAAACTACTGAAATAGTATTCAGGAAATAATATTCTACACAAAACTTAGTTTCATATACTTTTCCTTTTAAAACATTAGTAGCAAATGAATGAACGTAACACAATTTACGTGATAGAATGAATCACTTCCCTTGAAAAGCCACTTTTGTATGAAAAAAAAATTATTAATTATATTCACCAATGTAGTTATTGTATAAAATTATTTACAAAAGAGAAATGGATTTTTATTGCGTTATCCATTTCCATCACTTACAAAACCTTATGGTTACCCTACAAGACACATGGTTACCTACATATTATCAGAGTTGCACTGCTAAAATTCTCCACAAGCGTTGCATAGTTGCTCATGGCATTCGATGAGGCTCGATAGGTATTCGATGGTGATGGGATACCATGGAAGCTGAACTTTTGTTGGTTTAATTATATTATTTATTGCAGAGCCTAGAAAGTTTTAAACTTTAATTGCAAATTGCACAAAGAACAGTTACCAAAGTTTTGCCTTGTGTTTTTGTGATATTTTACTGTACATGAAAGGTCACATAAGATGTTGCGAATTTAACTTCTTAACCCTAAGTTAATCGTAACTATAAGTATAACCTGTGTTTTTGTATGGACTTAAAACAGACTTTTGACGTTTGTATGTAAGATGATGCAACCCGGGTCTGTGTCTCTCTGTTTGCATTGGGAGCTTATCATTTCTCTTGCTAAGAATCTGTTTGCATTGGAAACTCATCATTTCTTTTGTTAGCAAATTGACATGAAAATTGACATAATGTACCTAAATACTTACATTAAATACATATTTTAAAGTTGCTAAAATAATCTTGGAGTTCAAACCATCGTCGACCAAAAAGTGTAGAGTGATGGTTTTGCTTTGCATTTTGAGCAACAGCTGCCATGCATAAATTCAAAACATTATGCGGTGCTGCTGAAAAACGAACAGGACATCTGCATCATTGCATTAAGGCATGGTCACGCTACGGCCCGTAAAAACTTAAATCAAGGTTTTGCTGAGAGCAGTCGCTCGGCAAGTGAAAGGTCCTGGGTTCAATTCCCACCATAGGCAATTTGATTTTTTCAAGTTATATAAAACTGAAACATATTAAAGGCGACAATAGCTTAATAATGTCACTATTGGACTGCCTGATTTGAAGGAGAGTTCAATTCCCTTGACGGTATTCAAAATTCAACCTATGTAAGCCGATTTCAGGGTACTTAAACACGTCCCAAATATAACTTGCGGGGCAACACATCAGCTGGTGGTAGTGTGGTGAACTTATTTTTAGCATAACCATAATAAAACAAGGATACCTATTAGTAGGTAATTTATTTATTCGTTTATAATAAATCTTTAACCTTTGTCCAGTACTGGATGTCATTTAGCTGAAACGAACGAACGAAATGCAAAACTTCTAAAGATCTGCTCCTTCTACTTATACCCCGTATATATGTATTAGTAACAATAACTTGCCGCCAACTTCTCACAACTTCAGCGATGAACCGTAATTGGAAATTCGATACCGTAAAATAATAACATCGCAAACAAAAGTTCCTGTAATAAAGAGCCCGAATGCGTCTGCATAACAGCCAGGGCTTAGTTACTGGAGCGGTTATAGACGGGACACGTTTAATGGCCATAGACAGGAATCGGGAAAGCGTGATGCGAAAAAATTAAGTGGGTTTTTCTATTTTTTGGGGAAATTACCGGTTGAATGACCTTGTTTCAGATTTTATTGTTTAACGAAATCCTAAGCATTGATATGCTATAGCTCGCCGAAAGACGTGTGTCTATTAATTAATCAGTATGTGGAGTCGGTGGGCCACCTTTACTTAGGCTGAGTTGCACCACCTAACTTTGACGATAACCAGTGTTTTTTTGTATGGAGTTTGACAGATTTTTGACGTTTGTTAAAGTTAACGAAAGATGGTGCAACCCACCCGATTATTGTCATTCTGCGATTATGCTCCGTAGGTTACATTCGACTATTCCATAAAGTGAGGTTTAATTATTGTTAGTACCTAAATACTGAAAATGGCAACAGGACCTAACAAAGGTTATGATCTGAAAATCATAAAAAACTTTCGCTAAACCAAATCTTTTTCTTAATGAATAAAATAGGATAATCACATACCCACTGGATTTCGGGAAGTAAATTATTGAGCATTACCTACCTGAAACAAACAAACAAAAATTGATAAATTAAATTATTTAAGCAAAAAACTTTCGTAGATCCTTTGTCGCGCAACATACTGGTCTAGTAATTATTTTCAAAATCAAAACCTATAAGTACACATCATAAGCATACAGTAAACCTCCATCTCCCAATTCGAAAGGGTAACCTTTTCCTATGGGACCCCAAATACCCTGAACCACGCTAGCAAAGTTTTAATGGAGTACGGAACCATAAACCAACGCTATCCCGCAGCCACTGTCTAATTAGGATCCCTAATGGGCATTCTATTGCACTTGGGCCCTTTAGAAAGTATACTAAATTAAGGTTCTATATTGGCTCACATAAAATTCTAAATCCTATTCTTTGTCTTACTACCGATTTGTGTTCATAATAATCTCTCTTCATAATTTTATTTTTCATACTTTTTTTATTTATACATTTTTATTACTACCATCGGAGCTCATAACAGTTAGTAATCATAATTTTTTTATCAATACTGTTACTACCAAGAACCATTTAAAATACATAATTTTCATTTTCAGATCTTTTTTCTTCATAACAGTCATTGTTACTAAGAACATACTTCAACTCATAATGTTGTTGTTCAGAATAATTTACTTTATAACAGACATACTCGTATCTTTAAAAAAATCATATATAATTTAATAGAGTAGATAAGCATGCAGAGCATGCAGCATGAAAGCAAGCATGCAGCATGCATTGGTATCTCCTCGTCTCCGGCGCTGCGGGATGTGCAGCCCTTCCGCCTTTGCGTAACGAGGCTCAGGCACCCACGCTTGCTCGCCCGGACGCCTGAGCCTCGTTACAGCGGGCGAGGGCTGCCCTCCCTCCGCGCCTCCGGCTTTTAAATTACACTCTAGGGGTAGGGCAGACAAGACTACGTGGAGTCGGTTTGGCTGCGATTCGTTTCTGTCACGTTAGTTTTGTGACACAAAATATTGCCTGTTTTGGACCATTTCAAATTAATTTAATGTTAAAATACGATTTAATACGAATATAGACATCATGATTTTCAATAATATGGATAAATACACTTATGAGTAACTAGTTTTCCGCCCGCGGCTTCGCCCGCGTGGAATTTTGTCTGTCACAGAAAAACTTTATCGCGCGCGTCCCTGTTTCAAAAACCGGGATAAAAACTATCCTATGTTCTTTCCCGGGACTCAAACTATCTCTATGACAAATTTCATCAAAATCGGTTGCGAGGTTTAAGCGGGAAAGCGTAACAGACAGACAGACAGACAGACAGACAGGCAGACAGACAGACAGACAGACAGACAGAGTTACTTTCGCATTTATAATATTAGTTGGGATACATTTATGAAAACAAATATTAGGATACATCAAATTTATGAATATTATAGTTATTTATTCGAATGATTATGAGTTTCGATCATTAGTATACAAAAATATATGAAAACAAATATTAGTAAAAACTAAGTGTATGATTAGTGATATTATGAATATCAATGATTATGTTTTTAAATATGTAGGTTTTAAATTTTTTATGAAGAATGATCATTATGGTATCAAATTGTATGAGAAATATTTTCGGACTTCCAATGATAGGAATTGAAAAGTTATGTAAGAAAATGCGCTACCTAACCCTAGATACGCCAATGGACTTCGAATGAGTACAATAGTAGTAGATATCTTAAGGATCTTACCAGCTAGAGGGGGGATGGGCTTGTCCTTGTGGGGCTCCAGTAGCGGCTGCGTGGAGGGCGGCGCGTNGCGCTACCTAACCCTAGATACGCCAATGGACTTCGAATGAGTACAATAGTAGTAGATATCTTAAGGATCTTACCAGCTAGAGGGGGGATGGGCTTGTCCTTGTGGGGCTCCAGTAGCGGCTGCGTGGAGGGCGGCGCGTCGGCCCCATTGTCGGCGGGCCTGTTGTTGTTAGTCGGCGACTGGAACAACCAACCACGATAAAGACACATGGCTTAGTTAAAGCTGGTTACCTAATCTAATAACCGATTCGTGATTTAAGTACCTATGCGATTTTATTTAAATAGATAGATGAACGGGTAAAATACATCAACGGAATGAGATCTATGTCCAATTCAAAAATTGTATCAGGTCAACAACTCATACCGCGGTATAAGATCGAGCGGTATGAGATGACCAAAGCCTCAACTTTACTAGCCACCAAACATTTAAGGAAATGCAAATATTGGAACGGCACCATATAGAATGAGATGCAGGTACCAACCTTAGTAAAGCTCTAATTTTTATTACGTAATATCAACAAAGTTACGCTTTCATGTCAAACTACTTCAAGAAGGGCAAGATTCAATTAAAATATTACGATCTCAACTATGAAAGTCACTTGTATGCGAAAAAGAATTCGTTAAACCGATCTACCCTCGATAATTTTTAACAATACTTCTCGTTATTCTTTCCGTTTGAAAAGGCAAAGGCATAATGCTATACAGCCCAAATTTTCAATGGTTGCGACTTTTATTTTTTGAAGAGCCACACAAACATGTACCGATTTTTTAAAAATTCTGGAATACACGTACCTACCTAATTTTCAAATCACTTGTTATGTTAAGATAACCTTTGCAAACGAACGCTGGGAATTTTTAAATCCAACATAATTAGTAAATTCTCTACACGTCAAATTAACTGATGTAATAATATTAGCTATTAGTTATCGTCAATACCACAAACTAGTTTGTCAATATGACGCGACCAGACAACCTTGGGGTTCCGCTCAACTATGACGTGTTACATTTACTCAAACAGTTAAGTTTCCAGTAAGTCCCTGAAAGTGCAAAGGTCCTTTGGCCTGGATTCGCTGGTTTTCCCCAGTAAGTGAGTCAGACGAGTCGGATGCGATTGTCTGGAGGCATTCGGAGGGACTCCGGGATATCTCTAAATTGGCATGACACGCGATGTTCTTGAGATGGATTTACTCATTGATGTTGATAAAAACCATTTTGGAAATAACTTTGAATAAATAATAAAAGAAGAAATATTGACTCGCAGAAGTGGGTAACCGCGATATAACCTCGAAAATAAAATAAACCTAATTTTTAATTGAAACATGTTAATTATAATTGGATAATTAAATACTAGGGAAGTAATTAAAATTTTGATCATCATCTATCATTATTGCAGATGCAAGAGTATCTTTAATTGCTGAAAACAAAGATAACCCAAAGAAACTTTGGAAGTCTATTAAGAGCATTTGCCAACCATCTCCCCGAAATAATGATGCAGAAGAGTTGCTAAAATCACATGGTGATATAATCTCTTCATTAGACCACTGCAACCACTACTTCTCATCAGTTGGAAATAAATTAGCTAATCACATCTTATCTCAGACACGGGAGACTGAGGAATCCTTAATAAACTCTTATAGATCTCGCACCTCTATTGCTCACTCTCTGTACCTATCTCCGACTGATCCGGACGAAATAATCAGAATTATACAAAAACTCAATCAGGATAGTTCACCGGGTCTGGACAATCTGACCGTTCCCTTCTTGAAAAAGTCCCTGCCTTCTATTATTATTCCCCTTACTCACATCTTTAATCTGAGTCTTGAGTCTGGTATATTTCCAAATAATTGGAAAATCGCCGCCATATCACCCATTTTTAAATGTGGTTCGAAAAAAGCACCAGAAAATTATCGTCCAATAGCCCTCCTAAGCACTCTTTCTAAGGTTCTTGAAAAGATAGTTAGTAATCGCTTAGTACCATTCCTGGAAACAAACAACATCATTTCCGATAGTCAGTTCGGTTTCAGAAAGCACAAATCGACTGAGGACGCGGTGACGCTTCTCACAAATTTAGTATCTGCCCACGTTGATAGTGGCAGGTGTTGCCTAGCGGTGTTCATCGACCTTGCTAAGGCATTTGACACTGTGTCAGTAGGCCTGCTCTTAAAAAAGCTGGAATCTGTCGGGGTACGAGGAGTCTCGCACAACTGGCTGAAGAGTTACCTAACAAACCGCAGGCAACGTGTAAAAATTGGTGGTCAGTTAAGTTCGGAGCGTCCCATCGACTTTGGAGTTCCTCAGGGTAGCGTCCTTGGGCCCATTCTCTTCACTCTTTACCTGAACGACATACTTAAACTGCAATTGAAAAACGCTAACCTCATAGCCTATGCAGATGACACAGCTATCTTGTTTCACAGCGACGACTGGAAGAGCGTTTACGCTATTGCTGAGGAGGGTCTCTCCGAGGTAGCAAAAGCTTTCAATAATAACTTACTTACTATGAATGTCACAAAAACCAAATATTTGGCCTTCTCAAAAACCATTGTGGCTAGCCCACCTGCCTCTTTGACCCTCCGAGTGCATAGCTGTTCATTGGGACAAAACTCAAACTGTTCTTGTGGCAACATTGATCGCACCTCTACAATGAAGTACCTTGGAGTTACACTGGACGAAAACTTAACATACAAAACGCATATATCGATACTCTCGGGCCGGGTAAGGAAACTAATCTTTGTTATGAAAAGACTCAGAGACTGTTCCCCGCCAGACATTCTTAAAACAGTATATATCTCCCTGTGTCAATCAATCATACAATACTGTATTGCTGTGTGGGGCAGTGCTGGTAAAACCTTCTTCATCCAGCTGGAGCGAGCTCAACGTGCTCTCATCAAGGTCGCACTGAAGAAACCCTTCCGTTTTCCCACAGACGACCTTTACAGGGAATTTGGCGTACTACGGGTAAGACAATTATTTGTCTTATGTGCTATGATCAGGACGCATAGAAGCCTACAATCTCACCCACACTATAAAGACGTTATTTCAAGACGAGTATATAAAGCCCCTCTACCGCAGTTGCGTTCTCTGATGTCTCGGCGTAGCCCAGCCTTTTCATTGCCAAACACCTACAACAAATTATGCAAATTGTGCGACCTCAGAGACAAACCCTTATCCTTATGCAAAGTAATGACGAAAATGAAGCTTCTAGAACTAAATTACAATGAAACAGAAGATTTAATTTAGCAAAGCACAACACATACGCACATATAACACACAACACACACACACACACACACACACACACACACACACACACACACACACACACACACAACACATACACCAGATAGAAATATATAGTTAATAAGTTTAAATTAAGCAAAGTAATTATGTTTTAAAATACTGCATGCAATCTGTAACTTGCTCAATTTCCAAAAACGCCTCGTTTTGATAACTGCACTCTCTGAAACCCAAGATACAAGCTATACTGCTTAGTTTGGGTCTCACTGGCAAATATTTAAATAGGTCAATAACTAGTGCATAGTTTAAGTACATTTTAGTCAAGAATATGTATATCTTTTTGGAAATAAAATATTATTATTATTATTATTATTATTTTTTTACAAACTTGGCGAAAAAATGTCAGGTCAATTAAATTACTGTAATAAATAATAAAAAACACACGAGAAAAAATTAAGAAAATTGAAGCGGTTTCATATTTTATGGTTCGCATTTTATCTAAGCTATTAGGTATTTGTATGAGTACCTGCCTACTTTTGAATTTGTGTTATTATAAATTAGTTATTTACTTGACATGAATGAGCCACGTTTGTTTTGATAATTAGTATTGTTTCGCCTTGACCCTAATTAGTTACCTCATTAATATCGGCACACACTATTGACACAGTAAATCTAATTGTTTTCCAAAAATAACCTGGCCAGCATTGACATTAAGAAAAATATCAAAACTAATTAGGTATCGACTTCATCTTCTAAATATATAAAAGGAGAAACTGACTGACTGACTGACAGATCAACGCACAGCCTAAACGGCTAAACGTAGGCACTTGAAATTTGGAAGGGACGTAGCTTAGGTACGGTAGAGGTGCACTAAGAAAGGAATTCCCGAAATTCCCACGGGAACGGGAATTAGCGGGAAAAACGGGATTCACGCGTACGAAGTCGCGGGCGGCCGCTAGTTGTTGATAAAGTAGTTCCTTACTTTGACGGGAATGTAAGAAAAGTGTGATTTTTTTACACAGTCTTACTACTCTAACATTGCAGCTTCCTAAAGTATGTCAATTTACAAGATATCACCAATGCATTGCTCTATTAATTAACAAAAAACATATAGTAATGTAATAGATAGATAATATATTTTATCATTTTTAACTCCTACAAATATTCTCAGATTTTAAAAGTAGTTAATCCATTTTCAACGAGTTTATCGAATGATTCACCGTTATACTTAATTATGCGGTGTTTAACCGTTCCAGCGGCGCTTTTACAGCGGTTTTCCCGTTCGTCACCAGTAAGTAATTACTCGGTAGGTAATTGCGAATGACTGACTGCATTTTTGGCAGTGCTGCAGCCAAATATTTGGGAGGATACCCAAATAATCAGAAACAGTGATACATCTAGACGGGGTTCCCAGACTGAAACGGAAGCGGCTCATTTTCAACGAATGAAACGAATTTATGAATAGCTTTTCAATGTTTCAGAATTTGAAAAACAATAAAGTGGAATATGAAATTGTTATCCAAGGAGTACCTGGTATTTAAAAATCGTATTTTAAGCATTTAAATCTCTAATTGTCTAAATTAAACCTACCAATTAGATAAGAGGAAAAGTAAACACAGGAAAAGTTTTCTTTTTCAGCGTAGGGAATTTGTCAAAACTATTAATAGATTTAACATCCCACACGTAAGTACTCGTATTCTGTTGGCATTCGTTTCAGACACGCAATGATCATTTCCACACGAAGATTTCGTGGAAATTAGATAGCTATATTATCCGCCAATTTTCTTTTATGACTTTCCTTATGCTATCGGTAACCATAGAAACTACTGCTGTTCCTGAAAACGTCCCATCCTAGTACTTTTTCAGGGACATCAATAGTTCCTGAAATTGTGCTTGGAGGGCTTTTTGTACGACATAAATACAAAATATGAGGTAGGTATTGTCAGGGTCACTTTCAATTCATTTTTATCGTGAGAGTTACGCACAGCAACTGTTGTCCGAATTATTGGGCTTGGTAATCTAAAACCACTGAAACACGGAGGCATTCAAGGCAGATTTTCTTTGAAACAAATACTAAAGCCATGACTAGTTTTTACAAATACATGGCGTAACGAAATTGATTGATTCCCAAAATCTAAAGTCATGGCATCTGTGTACCGAGCGGTTAGCGTATTGTTGCCGAAGGCCACATCTCAATAGCCTTGCGAAGTTGACTCAATGCGTGGGTGAGGTCGATGAACTAACTACTTGCGAATCATCAAAACAATATCAATATTACAATTTGGTATTGAACTTGACTTATGAAATTTCCTGAAATAGGCACCACTTTATGTTTGCCTTAATAGCAAGTTTACCCAATTTAATGTAACAATCGGGATGATATACTTAGTTGGAACGGTTCGGTGTCTTTGTTGAGTCACCATGAGTTATCATGTGGATCTCCTTTTAGAGACAATGCAAAAAACTTACCAAGGTTACATAAATGAATGTGACGAGCTATAAAAATATTACAAAGTTCAGAATTTAACTACATAACCTTAACCCGTCAAAATAAAACCAACTTAAACTAGCAAACTCAAAGTAAAAAAAATATATTCGGTCAACTATAACTACCATTTAACTGAGATCGTAATAAACTAATAAACTTCACAGTGCAATATTCTGAAATTTCTGAAGGCAGTTAGATAGTAAGTAATTGGAACCAATCTTTTATTTTTAAGTATGATGTGACGCTTCAAAACAAGTTTTAGGATTCACTTAGGCATTCTTGAAATTCTTAATACTTCGGTCAATAAACTTAGAGTTTGATAATAATAAAGGTTTCATTATGTATAGTATTTGCATTTAGGTACGTAGGTGTCTACTTCAATTCGGAATTAGATTTTTTAAATTAACTTAAATTAAAAATTTCCTACCTACATTTAAAAAAACATGCATGATCAAATAAAGGTTTACACAAAACGAGGTACACATACACAGAATCTTAAATCGATGATTTTATAATGATGATAACATCGATCCTGCATCCTACACCTATTTTTTTAGTCACTCAACAAAAAGTTTTCGTCGTGTAAACTTACTTAGTACATACCAATCTATCTACAAAATATGCCGTCATATTGGTAAGTATGTGCAATTAATGGTATTTATGTACAACATTTTGTACGATAAGTCGGTGAAAATGAAGCTACATTACTTACTCTTCTTTCTGAAAATCTATAAAAACCTACATAAGCTTTGAAAGATATTGTATTTGTTCTGATTGTAGTAGGTACACTTAATACGTACTCAATTGACTCAATTCGCGTTTCTGTCGGAGAAAATGTGACGTTTCATAATTCATGTGCATTTCTGCACGGACTCAACGAAGTATAAATAGACCGGCTTTTCCGTTTCAGGGAAAAAGAAAATCTAGTTGAAAAAACATATTAGTATACATTGCAATGTTGGGTTGATATGTAAATATTTTTGTTTACTTTATTAAAGTAGGTTCGTAGGTATTCAAACCACACAGTGCAGGTGAGCGTGAGCCTATATTTTTAATGAGACTTCTTCCACTCGAAAATAGAGACTGGGTATTGTTGAATGTACATGCACATACTACATATTATCTGAAGTTGGGTAGTTTATTTTTTAATCATAAATGTGCATCAGGAATTAAGGATATCGTTCTCAGGCTTGGCTCCTAAATTGATTACATTACCTGCCTGTATTTGTTTGTTACGCCTTTGTTTTTGTGAACACGATTAACCCGAACTATTGTCTGGTAAACTAATAACACGTGTGGAAAACTTTCGAAAAATAAAAATGCAACTCCTCGTCTTAGTTTTGCGATGAAAAAGTTTCAATACCAAATATTGGTAAATCCTTATAATTTATTGAAATACCGTGCCTGTTATGGAACTACCCTTCGTAAATAGCTACTAAAAGTAATAGCAATTTATTAGTCGTGTGGTGACGGCAGAGTAGAATACATTTGTCACCAATCCCTACTCTTCCCGCGGGTGTCGTAAGAGGCGACTTAGGGACCACACATCAAACAGAGAACGGGCAGCAGCGCTCTCTGACAAACATCAATCCTTTAAACTGCGATCTCCAACCTGCCTGCTAAGCGGGGGATTATGGCAAAACCCTCCACTATAGTGGATGAGGCTCATAGTCCAGCAGTGGACTGTAAAGGGCTGTTGATGATGCACAAATTATACTTTCTCTATTTTTTTAAATTAATAACTAAGACGTCTTTCGGCTGAAACGAACGAACGAACGAACGAATAACTAAGAAAACAAAATAACTCACCGATTCCTTCCCCGGGTTCTTTTCATTTGTGATATTAATGTGGACTTCTGGTTTTCCATTTTTAGGAGAGGTCGGAGTACCGAAGATCATTTCCATGTCGTTCAGGTCCAGGCCCACCGGGCTCTTGGCGTCTTTAGGGGTCGTCCGGTTTGACATTGTGTATTAAATTCACTTGCACCCGTTAAAATCAACTTAAAGTAGCAACCTCCAAGTTATAAATAGCTGCTGAAACTCCAAATTCACTTTAAAACACTAGATTTGTAATTTTAATTCACGAACTTTAACAATGAGCTCGGTAAAGTTTATCTCGGTCGAGCGAAGCGCGCGCTAGCGGCCACGTCTGGCGTGAAACTGGTCGGTTCAGTGTTGTCAGTCGGTAAGTTGCTCCGACAGTGGTTCCGAGTTCATTAACGAATGATCTTTAAATCTATAATTCGGCGAAATCCCGTCTACGATGACGACAACGTACTGTCACCCACGCGACCACGGAAACTGGCGCAGAGTTGGGGTTTCCTCGCTCTTATTAGTGACGATAAAGGGCCTGTTTAATTTGGGGCAATAATGATGAGTGTGATGACTCACAAACAAAATCCGCAATCAAACACCCTAAAAGGAGGTTAATAATCTGGCACTGGTTGTTTATTTTTAATGTTTTTGAAACTTATTTCACTTTTACACTATTTATTTATTATTTATTTTTCTTTATTATGAAAACTATAATAAACTTCAATGACATTTTGTTATTCAATGAATACGAACGAACGCAGAAATGAATTTACACCCAGAAAATAACACTAAAGCTTCTAAAAGAGCTTTGCGAAAATTATTGAAAAAGCTCTTATATTAAAAACGTCAATTATTTATAAAGTAACATTACCTAATTATCGCTTCTTATTGTCCTTTAGGAAATGAGTTGAGCAGAGTATGTACTTGTACCTACCTAAATACTTACATCCTCGAAAACAAAGCTGTCTACGTTTTGTAAATCATTCGCTGAGCTTAAGAAAACTCAGGCATTCGCAACTTATTAATAAAACTTATTCATTATATTAACCACTCGTATCTCAATGAATACCTAGTATGGTTGTGGTTGAACACAAAGCTTTATATGTGTATTGTGATACCTACCAAGTTATGCGTCATCAGACACCAAGGAAGCCCTTTGCTACAGCTGTGCATGAGCATTCTCGTCAAGCTAGACATAATGTAACAAACTATTACTACAATACCATGCTAGGCTAGACAAGTGTAATAAACAGTACCTACGTATGCTTCCTCTATGCACTGACCTTATGCCTACCTAACCTATTATTCATCAGAAATCGTCTACCTACATAATGAAGTACCTAGTTTACCTACGGATTCACTTTGACAGATTTTGCATTTATAGAACACTTTGTTTCTATATAACTACATCACATAGGTAGTTTGTTCTTTTACAATTTTCTTTATTAAAAGCATGTAGGTACATGTGTATGAATAAATTTATGTTTCAATATTTATTTGTCTGTCTGTCAGTCCGACTAAAAATTCCTGAAGAACAAAAAATTCTTGAAGACTAAAAATTCCTGAAGACTTAAAATTCCTGAAGACTTAAATTCATGAAAAAAACTAAAAATTCATTCCTGAAACCTTAGTTTCATGAAAACTAAACATTTCTGAAGATTTTCTATTCCTGAAGACTTCCTGAAGACTTAAAATTCCTGAAGACTTAAGATTCCTGAAGACTTAAAATTCCTGAAGACTTAGATTCTTGAAGACTTGAAATTTCTGAAGACTGAAAATTCCTGAAGACTGAAAATTCCTGAAGACTTAAAATTCCTGAAGACTTAAAATTAAAAAAATCATAATATTCATTTATATTTGCAAATAGGCTTTTAGAAAGCACTTTTACACGTCCCAATATTAATATTAATATTAGGGTTAACCCTACCACTGCTTCGGGACAATAAATGGGCCAGTGCTGAGAAGAAGCAGCGCAAGAAACTCAGACACTATTGTCAGTCTCCTTTTTAAAGGGTTTACAGTCTTTAAAATATACAAAATATTATAGTCATAAGTATTGATGCGAGCTAGGTAGTTAAACATTCCAAACATTTTTATCTTTTATATATCATCAACTTTATAGTAGCCCTTTTTCATTACGGTGCTTTTGGTATGTGCTTTAAATTTATAAATGGGCAATTCTACAACAGTTTGTGGTAATTTATTGAAAAGTTTAATACATTTCCCCATAAATGAATTTCCAATCTTGTGCAGTCTGAAATTTGGAACGGCAAGTTTATTTTTGTTTCTTGTATTGAACTTGTGTAAATCACTCTTTCTAGTAAATTGCTCTATATTTTTGCGAACATATAAAAGGTTTTCATAAATGAACTGTGAAGCTACTGTCCGTATATTAATCTCCTTAAAAATCCCTGAAGACCAAAAAATTCATGTCTGTCTGTCTGTCGGTCCGTTTATTTATTTACAAATAGAACGGTTATTCCAATAACATTATTCAAACAAGTAAGTACGTCACCACAGTTCGTCACAAACGAGAATGTTGTATATCGTATTTAATGGACAGGTAGGCATTCCAATGTGTAAGTACTATTAGTTCCATAGTACTTACACATTGGAATACCTACCTGTCCATTTTAAATTGGTGCTAAACATTTATTCATGTATCAAGTACCGGTTTAGACAAACTAAGTCGCTTCTCAGGGAAAACCTCAGATCACCAGTGTGATTCAATTTACACCGTTTACACTGAACGATATCGCGCAGGCCACAGACTCAAGACAAGACTCATAAAACCACTTCATATAAATTGGTTTTTAACTCCGATGTGAGGAGCAACTAATTGCAATCACCTGAGTAGGTAATTATATTCTCAAGTGATAAATAAGTATATTACATGTAGTTAACATTGGAGTCTTTGAATTGACGAAATCAATAACCTGAAAATTAAATCCTTGTATTTAAATAAATTAATGTTGTAAAAGTAAGTTTCATTTAGCAATCTTAAAAATTTTGTTTTAACAGTGTTTACTAATAAAATAAATATAGCAGTCTTGGAAAGTTCATTGTCAGAGGATGCTGAGATGACGGTTAATAATATTATTTACTTGACTATGAATCATACAGGTTCATTAATGTTTAGATCAGTACAAGTATTTATTAATTAAACATAATTGCCTTGCTATTTACTTATTATCTAAAATTAGCTCAGACCACTTATCTTACTTTGGCTCGTTGCTTATTATTATGAATCAATAAATCTCTAAGTAAATATTTTTGTGTTTGGTATTCTTCAATCACTCCATTCATTAATTTGGGTTTCACCAAGATGTCCCTCGTAGTACGAGTAAGTGTAAAGAGCTTATTATCATTAGCATAAAGAGTTGTTTAGACTCATTCTGAACCGTGAGTCACATTTACACAGTAGTAAAGTTGTCTTATAGTATAGGGTCATTCATTAATCGTTAATTCGGACAACAGAACAGGCAGACAGAGAGTGCAAAGGATTGATACATCGCTGCTATAAATAAAAGGGATTAATTATTATTGACAATCCCGTCTACCTACCACCTAGCTACAATAAGCCTTAATTACGAGCCTCCGATATTTCGGCACCCGTTGCACGTTGCAAGCGCCATGACCACGGAGTAACCCCTTTAATTTTACTTATACGGCGCACGCACACAATTTCGGCAACAACTTGTATGGAAACGATAAGGTAAATAAACAGCAGTACAGTTCGTAATGAGTTAATAGTTCTCGCAACTCTGTACACTATAAATAGAAATGTTTCATTTGAGAACTACATCTGCTATCCTTCAAACTACGAGTACATGCTGGTCGAGTAGGTATGATTTATTTGGCTTTCAGGTTACCAGTACAATTTTAGTTACATCTAAATTAAATGTTTCTATTTTAAAGTATGTACCTACCTACATACCTACTTACAACTTACTTCATACAACACTCGTTATCGAGATAATTATGTTTTTTTCCAATGCACAATTTATTTTGTGACGCGCCCTGCGACGCATCGACAGCCCTAGCACCGAGCGCGGAGATTTTGACAACCCTACGGCTGCGCGGCCGCACGCCGCACGGACCGAGTTAATATAAGAGACGNTAATTGCTGAAAACAAAGATAACCCAAAGAAACTTTGGAAGTCTATTAAGAGCATTTGCCAACCATCTCCCCGAAATAATGATGCAGAAGAGTTGCTAAAATCACATGGTGATATAATCTCTTCATTAGACCACTGCAACCACTACTTCTCATCAGTTGGAAATAAATTAGCTAATCACATCTTATCTCAGACACGGGAGACTGAGGAATCCTTAATAAACTCTTATAGATCTCGCACCTCTATTGCTCACTCTCTGTACCTATCTCCGACTGATCCGGACGAAATAATCAGAATTATACAAAAACTCAATCAGGATAGTTCACCGGGTCTGGACAATCTGACCGTTCCCTTCTTGAAAAAGTCCCTGCCTTCTATTATTATTCCCCTTACTCACATCTTTAATCTGAGTCTTGAGTCTGGTATATTTCCAAATAATTGGAAAATCGCCGCCATATCACCCATTTTTAAATGTGGTTCGAAAAAAGCACCAGAAAATTATCGTCCAATAGCCCTCCTAAGCACTCTTTCTAAGGTTCTTGAAAAGATAGTTAGTAATCGCTTAGTACCATTCCTGGAAACAAACAACATCATTTCCGATAGTCAGTTCGGTTTCAGAAAGCACAAATCGACTGAGGACGCGGTGACGCTTCTCACAAATTTAGTATCTGCCCACGTTGAAAGTGGCAGGTGTTGCCTAGCGGTGTTCATCGACCTTGCTAAGGCATTTGACACTGTGTCAGTAGGCCTGCTCTTAAAAAAGCTGGAATCTGTCGGGGTACGAGGAGTCTCGCACAACTGGCTGAAGAGTTACCTAACAAACCGCAGGCAACGTGTAAAAATTGGTGGTCAGTTAAGTTCGGAGCGTCCCATCGACTTTGGAGTTCCTCAGGGTAGCGTCCTTGGGCCTATTCTCTTCAATCTTTACCTGAACGACATACTTAAACTGCAATTGAAAAACGCTAACCTCATAGCCTATGCAGATGACACAGCTATCTTGTTTCACAGCGACGACTGGAAGAGCGTTTACGCTATTGCTGAGGAGGGTCTCTCCGAGGTAGCAAAAGCTTTCAATAATAACTTACTTACTATGAATGTCACAAAAACCAAATATTTGGCCTTCTCAAAAACCATTGTGGCTAGCCCACCTGCCTCTTTGACCCTCCGAGTGCATAGCTGTTCATTGGGACAAAACTCAAACTGTTCTTGTGGCAACATTGATCGCACCTCTACAATGAAGTACCTTGGAGTTACACTGGACGAAAACTTAACATACAAAACGCATATATCGATACTCTCGGGCCGGGTAAGGAAACTAATCTTTGTTATGAAAAGACTCAGAGACTGTTCCCCGCCAGACATTCTTAAAACAGTATATGTTACGCTTTCCCGCTTAAACCTCGCAACCGATTTTGATGAAATTTGGCATAGAGATAGTTTGAGTCCCGGGAAAGAACATAGGATAGTTTTTATCCCGGTTTTTGAAACAGGGACGCGCGCGATAAAGTTTTTCTGTGACAGACAAAATTCCACGCGGGCGAAGCCGCGGGCGGAAAGCTAGTCTTGTATAACTTTTAGTAATTATAGAAATTATTAACATTAATCAGATGCCTGTTCTGAGTATGGTAATTTAAATAATTAAACTAGTAAACTAGAAATATTAATAACAAGTGCCATGAATACGATTATTGTATTAAAGAAATATTTCAAGAAATACTCGTAATAACAAATTAAACAACTCGTTTAATTAGCTCATTAGTTAATTGTAAACAAAANACGTAAACTAGTCTCGGGACGCGAACCGGGCGCGTCGCTATCCCTCTCGTCATAGTAGATTTGCAATTGTAGAATAACTTGTTCATTATTTAAATAATAGTAATTTAGAGTCAGTGAAACTAGAATAAGTAAACTATTGTGGAACCTGAATTATAAGTGCCATTGTGTTATTGATTGTGCGTTTCCTTGGTCGAATATCCCTGTAGGCATCCTGAATAGGTACACATCCCTCATCGCAGAAGGCGAACTGGGACTTAGTACTAAACAGCGGGGTGTCAGACTGAGCTAGCTTAGACGCCCCGTTGCAATTTTTTGACTGTTTTATCATAAAAATACTTACTTACTTAAGTAAAAGTTCAGGATTAATTTAAATAAGTCTGAAAACTGGACCTAATTTTGTATTGTTGGTAGGTGAATAGGTAGGATTAGCTCAAGTATCGGTTATTTCTGTCCGTACTAGATCATTATTTAAAACTTATTCTACCTCCTACTTAGCCACATAATGTAACTGCGCACGCAGAAATAGACGTTCATTAGTAGCTAATTGCGTCAAAACAATGAGCCGAACAGAAATTTCACGCAGAAGTAGGTGAAACGTTAAATCATTCGTAACTACGTCAAAATATCATAACATTGTTAAAATCCTGCAACTTGATAGCAGAAGTAAATTCCGTCTGTGCACCACACGCATCCTCGCATGCAGTTAATGAAGGTCGTTAGGCGATAACATAAATCCACGTCATTATAGTTTTAAGTCCTTAATTATTTCTGTGTATTCCTCAACTTGCTATTTAAAACTCCTTTCGTGCGTGAGCAGCTCGCCTGGCAGTTTCATTAGCGCAACGTTTTACACATAACATTGTTTGCGATTAGAACTGTTGTAGTAGTACGAAAAGGTCTTGTTTGATTCACAACGGGTAAAATTGTTCTGTGATAGTTTTTATTTTAGTTCAGACATATTAGAAAGAAGGTTACATGCTTTGAATCGAATAAAACTGAAGATTGGCTAACAGAACACGGTAGAAGTATTTACCCAGCCATAATAATACATATTAAACTTAGCGACACTCTTATTTAGCGCTAGAGCCAGCGTTGGACTAGCCGGACTGGCTGGATGTTTTCCGGGTATACAGGCTAGGCCTGTAAAAACCCTCAGTACGATGTTAATATTGGTAGTAACCATCGTAGAGTTAACCTAAATAATTAGCACCTATAGTCAGTTCCTCCGTGGTTGAGGATTCCGGGTGAAGCTCGCTTCCACCTTCGGCCTGATCGTCACTTACCATCAGGTGAGATACAGGCCAAGAGCTTCCTCGTTGTAGATAAAAAAACCTACCTACCAACATATTAGGAGAGCAAGAAAACGGCGGAGAGCCATCGGTACTCTTCCAGCCCGCTCCAACCCGGAATCGAACTCGAATTCCGCAAGTTCTGACACTCTTAAAAAAGCAAAGTAGAGCAATAATGTTCTCAACCTTCGAACGAACCAATTGTGGACGAAAATCGTTATATCAATTTAACGCTGAAAATTTTCAATGCAGAACAGAATTATGTATTTCCAAAAACGAAAATAAACATGCATTCATTTATTGAACGTATTCACATCTGAATAAATATGCAAAGCATGTTGTAATTTTCAATAGATTGGCGTTTTATAATCTCCATACATAACCTATTTACTCTTAATTCATTGTATCACAATAGTCATGTCAATGAATGCTTTAACGACGGTGTAGAGAGAAATCCCTGGAACACAATTTCTGACCTCGGGACTTTATTGAGACTAGTTAGGAGGTGAACATAGCAAAAGTCCCCGCCCTTAGCCCTTGAGCCGGCAGGGAGAGGGGAGTTTAAAGGTACCACTTTTCGGTTTTTCGCTTAATCCTCGGAAACTATGCGTCCTAGTGGCATGGCTACTATGAACCAAAAAAAGCTTATTCAATTGCTACAGGTGAGATAGTCAAGTTTTTCTATATCTTGTATAGTTTTCGCGGCAACTGCTCTAGAAGGTCTGTAATATTGGAAATTTTATTTTTGTCTTACATGTGCCCATCAGGAGAAAATTGACTAAATCAACATTGAGCAAACATTATAGACATGCGGAAGCATGTTAAGCCTAGTTCCAGGGAGGGGACTGCATCGTGCGTATATTTAGACGAACCAATTGGAGCCACTTTTGACTCTTCATCACTCAAAAAGTACTGTGCATTAACACTTCAAATTTGGCTCATGTGTTGAGACTTGCAAGATAAACATCAGCTTCAAATTTTATAAATATACCTCAAACGGTTATTTAGGTATTGACGTTCAAAAATCGACATTTAGGACACTAAATCTATCTAATCTATCTATCACCTGTGAAATTTTAAAATTTACTGGTTTTTTATTTGTTCCTTTGCATTTACACAACTACCTATCTGGATGCCAAATTTGAACCTTCAAGGTCATCTGGAAGTGGTTAGAATTTGGTCTTATAGGTCAGCCATGTAGATTTTTAGACGTCAATACCTAAAGAACCGTTTGAGGTATATTTATGAATTTTGAAGCTGATGTTTATCTTGCAAGTCTCAATACATGAGCCAAATTTGTAGTGTTAATGCACAGTACTTTTTGAGTGATGAGGAGTCAAAAGTGGCTCCAATTGGTTCATCTAAATACACGCACGGTGCAGTCCCCTCCCTGGAACTAGGCTTAACATGCTCCCGCATGTCTAGAATATTAGCTCAATGTTGATTTAGTCGATTTTCTCCTGATGGAAACATGTAAGACAAAAATAAAATTTCCAATATTACAGACCTTCTAGAGCAGATGCCGCGAAAACTATACAAGATATAGAAAAACTTGACTATCTCACCTGTAGCAAATTGAATAAGCTTTTTTTGGTTCATAGTAGTCATGTCACTAGGACGCATAGTTTCCGAGGATTAACCGAAAAACCGAAAAGTGGTACCTTTAAACCCCCCTCTCCCCGCCGGCTCAAGGGCTAAGGGCGGGGACTTTTGCTATGTTCACCTTCTAACTAGTCTAAATAAAGTCCCGAAGTCAAAAATTGTGTTCCACGGATTTCCATCTATAATGCTTTATTGACTGGACTACAATATTTATTGTATTTCTGGTCATGACCTTTTTTCCTGTGGCCTTCCTAAATTAATCATCATCACCATCATTTTAAGCCATAAGACGTCTACTGCATCTGAATAAGATATTGGAATTGAGAAATAACAACAAACACGCATCTCCAATAGGAAGACTCGAAGAACGCTTCATACAACTCTGTCCAAGTGTCCATGTGTGTGCACTCGGATAGCTGAAGCTTTTATTGCTATTTCCTATACGCTTTCCGCATGATATCTCTAATTTGGTTAAAGAAAAGAAAGTAAGAGAAAAGATAAACCCAAACTAAATGCTATACTAACAACATTCCAGACCTTACGCCTTCCCGAGGGAACGCCAACAACGTGCGTACATTAGACATAAACGCGTTAGCACTAAAGTTGCCAATTTTTAATTTAAGGTATTTTTTTACTTACTTCTACTAAATCAAAATATTTGTGTCAAAAATAAGTAATCCTTAATTAGGATAACGTGCAGGTTACACCGGGGAACATTAATTAGGTAGAACCTTGAATAAATGAATATGAATATGAAAATTCTACATAGGTAGTATCTGAAAAATTCATTGTAGTTAGGTATGATAATAACAACAATCACTTAGCTTCAAACTGACATAAACATACATAGACGATAATTTTCAACCGTAATGTTTTCGTTAAATAAACACAAATGATTCAAAAATTAACAGTGATTAACTATCATAGGAAATTGGATATCTAGATAATATGGTATGGTTTTACTCACACAAATACGGATCGGGCTTGGATAATGTTACTCATAAAACGTGGTTTACAAGTTTACACAGCACTTTACTTCAAAGTACTATGATGGAGGTGTACGATAAATCTAACAAATTATTCAGCAAATTAAGAGTTACTCGCTCTTTAATCACCTGTTTCCGTTAGTTGTAGTTCAATAAGAAATTAATGTACGTTTTCAGAAGGCACAGAATGAATTTTTAGACAATCAGACAATAAATTCAAGCCGACTGAAACCAAAATGGGAACGAGTAGGTAGGCACAGAATTAATTTACAACCTGGGAATGAGCTTGTGGAAAGTATACTTACTTAAACTGCGAGGACCTCTCTTATCAGTCTTCAACCTCGTTCTACGTACAGTTTGACTGCCTCCATTACTTTTTTGGGTTGATATGGAATCCGTTGATGGCACTAGATCTCCAAAAACGGACGCAACCTGTCCAGAAATAGGGCACCTTCAAATAGTAATAAAGGATGTATGCAAGCAGATACGTTTGGACGACATTCTCATTATTTCCGAGTAACATTATTTATTACTAATCTGTTATCTACAATACACCCGGTGCGTTTTACGATTTCAGTATAGCGCGAACTATAGCGAGTGACTGACGTTGCTGTCATTTTATTTTTAGTTTCTAGTTTAATAAAAAAACACCAAAATGGGGTGCGGAGAATCCTGTGTCAAATATATCCTGTTCTTCACCAACCTGTTCTTTGCCGTGAGTATTTTAGTTATTTGCAATTTTACATCGAATAATCTTGCTGTTAGGTAGGTAATCTTTATCTGAAAATTATCGCTATCAAAACAGCACTAACATGAAGTAGGCACTTGGCAATAAGAGCCTGGCAGCATTGTTATGAAACATACCTACGAGTAATATAATTTATTATTTTGTTAAATTTAAAATACCTACATATTATTATGCTAGGTGTCCTAAGCTAGCTTACTATAACAAATGTTTCAGTGCATTGTAAGTTCGCGGTAAAAAAAAATCACATAATTTTAAGAACAGAATTCTAAAATGTATGAAGAATTTAGCGAAACATTGATATGCATTTCCTTGTCTGTAACAACATAACTTTATAGTAAGGCTTATCTTAGCGCCTTCGCCTTGATAAGTTAGTCAAATGAAAGTATGTACTCATGTCTGCTGGACAAACACTAACGCATATTCATCATCAAGCCAAACGGCGATTTTCTAGTATGTTCACTGAAAACACTTCTTCAAAAAAATCAAAATGGTCGGGTATTTTGAAAGATTTTAAAGAGTCTTCAGTTCCCCATCCATATCTAGCGTCGCTAAATTGACCTTTGTTTTATAATAACGATAAAAACCAAGTATAACTAACCTTTTCACTTATCTTGACATCATTTTCTGTTTCAGTCTATTTTCCTTGCGTTTTCCCGTTTTATTTGAGGCCAGTTCTCGTCATTTGTCTCCTCTGGCTTGGATGTGTTGTGTAGGCGGTCTTCTTCTCCTTCATAGCCTATTGGTTCTGAAAATATAAAAAAACAGAATTTAAAAGCTTTTACAAATAAAATGAAGGTTTGTGGTCAGGTTAGAGACAATCGCCCCAGTTTTGAATACCGACTTGATTATCTTTATGATGAATGATAATAAACGTCATGAATATTGAATATTACAGTCGCACTACATTTAATTTATTTATTGGTGTCAAGAATACTGATTACTTATTGATTTGATAATAATCACGAAAACAATGAGATAATGTCCGAATATAGCTTTTCTCTGAAAATTTATCGTAGTTATAAATGTGACAAGTATAATTTTTATACATATTTTTACAATCTTAAAATATTACACTTCTTCATGATTGAGTGTAATAAACATACATCATCATCATCATCATTTCAGCCATAGGACGTCCACTGCTGAACATAGTCCTCTCCTTATGCTTTCCACGTTGATCGATTGGTAGCGACCTGCGTACAGCGCTTCCCTGTCACCTTTACGATGTCGTCGGTCCACCTTGTAGGTGGAAGTCCCACGCTGCACTTTCCGGCACACGGCCTCCATTCCAGAACCTTACAGCCCCATCGGCCGTCAGTTCTGCGTACTATGTGCCCTGCCCATTGCCACTTCAGCTTGCTAATCCGTCGGGCTATGTCAGCGACTTTAGTTCGTTTACGTTTATATATCCATATAATATATAATATTTTATATATAATAAACATACGCTGCAAAAATATAAATTAAATATGCATAGAATCTTAGAGTAACCATCAATATGATCATGTTATAATTTTAGATTATAACAATTATTGATCCAATTAATAATAACGCTATTCTACAAAATAACAATGGATCATATTTGGACGGACACCGACGCACCTACTGTTTTTATCATTTGATTAGATACAAGCTTTTCCATGCATCGATCTTCTTGTGAAATAGTTAAGGTTCAATTTAGCGCGAAAGATTTCAGCCGTCGTATATGAGGCGGAAAGATAAGCTGACAATATTCATATCGATTTTTCATACTTCCAAGTAAACAAACATGACAAATAATTGAATGAATTTTATACATTTTCTTCGTAGTCTTTCCTTATGTAAATATTTGTTGTTTGTTTTCCAATATCACTAGTTACTATCGTAAAGTATCTATAGCAAAAACATGAGAAAGAAACAGGATTTCTTAGGTAGGTAGGATTTATTTCTTCCCAAGGACATATTTTTATTTTTAAGTAATTTGTTCTGCATTGAGCGAATATGGAGTAAGCAGAAGTTGAAAAGGTTTTTTGAACACTGTGGAGTATCTACTACTGAAATATATTTTTTGTAGGAGCTTTTACATGTTTCATTATTGTTTTTCGTAACGAGCTTAACTAAATTATTTTTTAAATTAATTGAATTTCATAACCTTCGCCTACACAATTTTATAACAAAAACCCCTACCTACGGTATCCTGTAACCCTTGCTTGGATGCACTACATGTAGTTGCTAGAAGTATAGTAAAAGTACTCGTATTTTAATTAAGGCGATTAGTGTCCTCAATCCGCGCCAAATGGGCATTTTGTAAAGCCTACTCCTCTTTTACTGCTAGACAGAAATAGTTGAAAAAAATATATGTTATACAACAGTTCAAGGACTACTTTTGTGACGTTTGAATTTTGGCTACGTCTCTTTGTTTTGGATTAAAAAAATAAATACGGGACATCGATTTTTTACTTAAATTCCCTACTCCTCCAAAACGGCTATGTTAATTTAAAAGATTTTTGCACGAATAGATTGGGAATTCTTTAATCTTTAAATGACACGTTGCGTTTTTCAATCGAAAATTACTTTCATTCATAAATTTTACTTTTGATAAATTCCGAACGTTTTGCTGTTGAGGGGGCCTTCGCGGGGTGCGGGCGGCAGTCGGCCGCTGGCCTTCAGACGGGGAGGTTGTGTCACTCGCTACAAACTGACATTAGCGATCAAAATCAAATCGTAGTTTTTGGTGCGTGGTTCGCGGGTGTTGCTCGCGGCGTGAAGGTCAAACGCCCAAGGTCCTTGAGGACTCTAATCGCCTTAATTTCAAATTTTCGCGTTGCATAATTGAATTAAATTAAACAGGTTTTAACGCGATATACTACATGTTACTCGTATGTTAGCAAAAGACGTCCTATGTGGTATCCCGTAATCCTCGGTATAGTTGCTAGAAAAGCCATAGTAAAAGTGTAAAAACTCAGTAAAACTCATTTATTTCTGTAAATAGGCTTAAAAAAAGCACTTTTACACGTCCCAGTATTAACCCTACCACTGCTTCAGGACAATAAATAAATGGGCCAGTGCTGAGAAGAAGCAGCGCAAGAAACTCTATCACTATTCTCAGCCTCTTTTTCAAAGGTTTACATGCTTTCAAATGTATTTTTACGCACATATTAATTGAACTGATCTGACCTCGTTTCCAGCTGGCAGGGCTGGTGCTGCTGGGGCTGGGCATCGCGGTCCAGCTGCAGCTGGCAGGAGTGGTTAGCATCGCGCACCTGGACCTGTCGCTGGCGCCGATCTCGTCCATGGTGGTGGGCGTGCTGGTGTTCCTCATCGCCTTCTTCGGATGCTGCGGAGCCATTAGAGAGAGCAACTGCATGCTGGTTACTGTGAGTGGACATTGTGACAATGTTTATTAAATTATCACCGGTCAACAAAAATATTTTTTTTTTTGCGCATGGATTTTACTTATTATATTCTGATTATATAAGCAAATTTATATAAAAAAGTGCGATTACAAAGCGATTTGAATTTTCCATCTTCATAGTAGAATGTCTCTAAAGATGCACGTCCCATTCTCATTGGGATATATTTATAAATAATTATGGGGGCTTATTCGCAAGAACAAGGGGCACGCTTTCATCAAAATATAGTGAGATTTGAGAGACGACGTTACCAAGGCCAGTATACTGAAAGCATGATAGGGTTAGATTTTTATGCGAAAAATCTTCTATGGAACGTGACAGGAAATTGGAACTTTTCATTTTTAATAAATATTTGGATTCTATTTTAAATTTTCTCTTGTGAGAATGAATCTTAAATGGATGTTTGGTATGTTTTAATAGTTAGAAAGAATGAAAGAAAGAAAGAAAAAAATATATTTGGCAACAAATTGAATCATCTCTATGTTCATGTTTCATACATTCATTGATATGAATTTTTCTATTTTTTACACATAAAAGCAAATTCAGAACAATTTTTTGTTGTTATTCTTAATTCTAGGTCATAAAGCAATAAAAATAAGCTATGCATAACCCGTGCGCAAAAATGCTGTAGACAGTTGTTATCTAGCTTTAAGGCCCAGAACAGACGGTGAAACGCAACTGCAACGAAACTGCAACTGCATAGTTACTTTTGAGTTGCATCTAAGTTTCAGCCATAGCGTCCGTTGAGAGACCACACATGACGCGACCAGTTTGAAACATTCAGTTTCAGTTTCATTCATAAGAATCATCAGAAAGATGCAGTTTCGTTGCAGTTGCATTTCACCGTCTGTTGTGGTCTGGGCCTAAGAGTTGAAGTTGACTTGAAAAAACCTTTGGATATTCGATCTTTTCAAGTTATTTAAAACATTATGACCATGTTGGACTTGAGAAAGCCCTTGAGGCTTGCTATGCCAAGTAAGGAAAGCGAATAGTGTTCCGTCATGTTGTGACTAAGCAAGGCAGTCTAGGATGGTACATTCTTGCTCTGTAAATGCCTCTTCACTCTCACCTTGAAGAGGCTACGATTATAGTATTCGGAAAAGACAGCAGCCAGCAGCGAATTCCAGTCTCTAGCTGTTCGCATTATAAAGAGTTTAAATCAAATCAGTTTATTTGCGTGAAAAGTAGTCTACAAAAGTACAAATTGTTACAATAATAAAATATCTGCACAGTCCTAGTAGCTATAGTCTGGTCCGTGAGCACGTAGAATTTTGTCCAATGACCCCAAGCTACCCATCCTTATTGCTCGCGCGTAATTATGTTACTATCGCGCTCGCACACTCACTGCGGGTGCCAGTCGCACAGTCGCGACAGCAATATAATTACGCGAGAGCGATAAGGATGCGCAGCTAGGGGTCATTGGACAAAATTCTACGTGCTCACGGACCGGGCTTTAGTCAAAGAGTTTAAAGAGTTAACGAAAGTGCAACCAAAAAATTAATGAAAATGTGTTTACCCTGTCCATTCACAGTTCTCGATCTTCATGATAATCCTGATGGTGCTGAAGATAGCGCTGTCGGTGGTGATCTTCGTGGGGCTGGACGACGTGGTGGGCGACGTGCCGGTCTGGCTCAAGCAGGCCTTCGCCGAGGACAGGGTTTCCTTCAGGGAGATTGAAACCACCGTGAGTGGGACAATGTTTAACTTTTAACAACTACCCTCAACATATAATTATTTTTACTATGACATTTAAGTATACCAAGATTTTATTTATCATTTAATTTTTTTTCTGTTTCGTGAAGGATGGTGAATTACACATAATTTCTCTTTGTGAGCTAAATAAACGTGAAACTAAATCCGAACTAATTTCGTAGTAGGGTATAGTCCTATTACGTCAAGGACATAACATACCCACCTATTTTCTCTGACAATCAGGTATTTTGATTTCCTGATTAAAACCTTATTTAAAGAATTCAAATTCAAAATTCAAACTCCTTAAGGTTCGGCCAAACCAACGCGATCACACGCGATCAACCGGCGTGCAGCGATGGTGATTTGGCCGAACCTTTATTGCTTCTACAATGAAAATAATATTCTGTTAACATCACATCTTTGGTGTTAAACTGTGTGTTTGCGGCATGTGAGGTTCATCGTTCCCATGTTTTGCCTATAATTTTTTATTTAAAAATACTTTGTATTGTACAATTCCAGTTCCAATGCTGCGGCCCCACCGGTCCCCTGTCTTACATGAACGTGTCGCTACCGGATTCGTGCTGCGCCGCGGCGCCGTGCAACATCCTAAACTCCTACAGCGGCTGCGACGGCATCATCCAGGAGTTCCTGCGGACCTTCGGCCTCGTCATCGGAGTTGTCGCCATCGTCGTCGTCTCCATCGAGGTCAGTACGAAGAAAATTACTACTACTCCTATTCCCCCCAAGCCGCTTTCGGCTATGGTAACTACCACAAGTTCCTTCAGTCCGCAATTAGAGGGCTACGCTGGGCTGCCGTATTATGTGCCCTAATATGGCTACAGTAGCCAATCTTGTTAAACGTGCGCGAACAATGACGACACGTTAGGACGCTGCTGTTTTGCTTTCACTAATAATAATGAAGAAAAATATGATAAAAGATGCAATGAGAGATGAATCCGGTGATAAAGACTATCCATGTCTACTTCGACCATTCTTACTAGATTGTAACGAACGTGCGAATCGGTGATAAGATTCATGAAGCTCGTAGACATTCGCTGTTTGATAGCTTTCCTGCTAAAGAAGGTATCAATACTATCTAGCGCTGGAAGCACTGGAAGACTGAAGTGTTTTTTACATCAAGGCAAAAATGCGAAACTTTTCCGATGCACGCATTACTATTAAGAGTACTGGCACCAAACTCGAGGTTCACTTTTTTTGGAGTTCAAAGAGGTCCTATTCTAACTGCTTGTTTGTTCCAGCTGGTGGCAGCGGTGTTCGGGCTGTGCCTGGCCAACCACGTGCGGAACAAGTACAGGAGGCGGGCGTACTGACGCGTGTCCTTCTTGGTGCTCCGGCGGGCAGATGTAGATAGATGACACAACTCTGTTGTATTGGGGCCGTTTTATACAGCTAGTTACTATCGAAAAATTTGATTTACAATGCCGTGGGGTCACAACAGATTTTCTATATCTATAGTTCATATGCAAGATGAATTTATACCTAATCATATCCTAAGATTCTCTGATACTAAAACATTTTTTGTTGTATGCGTGAAAATCGGCTCACAATGTAACAGTTTGTAATTTTACCTAATTAATATAATATACCTACCTGATAAGCATTTACTTACATTTTTATTAAAGCTCTAATATAATATTTACTTCATAACCTTTCCGTGTGATTTATAAACATAAACCGTTAGTAATGTACAAGTAGGACTTAACTTATTTTATTTTTTAACATGCCCAGTGTTATCGTATTCGTTACTTTAGTTATATTTTTCAATGTAAAAGTTTTGTATATTAAACAACATAGACAAATGAAAGTTGTTATTATTTTCTTATTCCTTAATTTCTTGTAATGTGAATTCCTATTTTGGCTGATTTTGATTTTTTTTATTAATTTATTAGTATTTGGTAGCTATGTAATAAATAAACCAAGAAAGTATTACCTTCGCAAATCATCAAAAACTTAATTCATCCTCAATGTCCTAAAAAAATTATGATAATTTGATTTGTACGCAGCCACATGGCCTGAGGAAGGTAGGGTCCAATGTTCAGCAGTGGACGTCCTGTGGCTGAAATTATGATAATGTGGAAGGAAAGTTTACTTATAAAAAGTTCGTTGAAAGTCACCATGGGAGGTCTGTTTTCAGCAGTGGATAAGGTGTATTAGAGATATTGAATATTTTCCTCCAGTCAGATAAATCACGCTGGGTGTCTATCTGTGGCTTATCGCACAATATCGAAACTGAGATAAGCTCCGAAGCTATCTAACCCACATACATTATCCCAGTCCAATTTGGAGGATCCTCCCGAAAGTGCTCTGCTGTGAAAGAGTTAAGCAATATAAATAAAAATGAGTTGCTGTGCGCAATATATTATTAAATACATCCTCTTCGCTGTGAATCTCATATTCGCGGTAAGTAAAGTTTTGATCTTCTATTTTTGTCTTGGTTTCGAAAAGTTTTCTAAAATTGAACCCCGAAAATAGAGCTCAATAGACCATTAAAGGAATCCTTGCAATAAACTAATTTTATTTATCAATTTCCCATAGCTGTACGAGTGGTATAAAGTGTTAAGATTATTGTATTTTCAAATCAAACGTTTCATCGATCAATGTCTCAAGTTTTCCGTTGTTCTATCTTGACTTTTAATGTTATTTTTTATTCAAAAATATTGATGTGATTCATTGGATAGACATATCAGGGCCTCACACCCATAAGAATTTTATCATGGTTTTGGTACTTGAAGTTGCCATGGTGAATGAAGTGGGCGCAGCCCACCTCGTTGAAAGCACTTGCATCATGAAAGTGGTATTGCGGAAAAGCGGAACGAAGGCGAACTTAGCTTATGGGAAGCGAAAACTAATGCGGTGAGTGTTTTGCCCCAACCACAAGAGATGATCAGCGGTTTGGTTGCGGATTACATTCGAGGAGTTGCCAAAATATTTACAGGTTTTGTTTCAGCAGTGCCTATGTTACCTTGTCTCTATGTGTTCCAGTTAGGAGGCCTAGCTTTCCTGATCCTAGGCGCCATCGACCAGGTGCAAATGAAGGATAAGGTCTCCATCGCCAGTGTCAACATCTCGGTGACACCTATCTTAACCATGGCCAGCTGAAAGGCCCTATATTGTTACCTTGCCCTCTACTTTTTCCGTGTTGTATTCCAGTTGGGAGGCCTGGCTCTCCTGATCGTGGGCGTCATCGTCCAGATGCAGATGTCACACGTAGTGTCCATTGCCAGTGTCAACATCTCGGTGGCACCTATCTTAACCATGGCCAGCTGAAAGGCCCTATATTGTTACTTTGTACTCTACTGTTCCCCTGATTGTTTTCCAGTTAGGGGGCCTGGCTCTCCTGATCCTGGGCGTCATCGTCCAGGTGCAGGTGTCGGACGTGGTGTCCGTTGCCAGTGTCAACATCTTGGTGGCACTTATCTTTTCCAGGGCTGCTGTAAGGCCCGTTGTTACCTTGTACTCTACTGTTCCCCTGATTGTTTTCCAGTTAGGGGGCCTGGCTCTCCTGATCCTGGGCGTCATCGTCCACGTGCAGGTGTCACACGTAGTGTCCATCGCCAGTGTCAACATCTCGGTGCTTCCATGGCTGCTGTAAGGCCCGTTGTTACCTTATACTCTACTGTTCCACTGATTATTTTCCAGTTAGGGGGCCTGGCTCTCCTGATCCTGGGCGTCATCGTCCAGGTGCAGGTGTCGGACGTGGTGTCCGTTGCCAGCGTGAACATCTCCGTGGCGCCCATCTCGTCCATGGTCATCGGCAGCGTCATCTTCTTCATCGCCTTCCTCGGCTGCTGCGGCGCTATCAAGGAAAACAGATGCTTTTTACTAACCGTAAGCACTTATCTACCTACTAATTATAATAATGTAACTGGTATCTACATAAATTCTGTTATATCGAATCTTAAGCATAATAGGCACTACGTAGAAATCACTTAGTTCAATGTTTTCAATGTCTTTATATTCTTCATGTATAACTTTAGTAATGTGCAAATGGTTGGACGAATAACTATACAATACTCTACCTTTAATCGTAAGTTGTATCTTAAAATTGCAAATGTGTATATCCAAACGATGCTGTTTATTTCAGTATGCAGTGTTTATGGTGCTCCTGATGATCGTGAAGATCACGTTAGGGACTGTGATCTTCGTGAGCAAGGAGGACGTGGTGGCGGACGTGCCCCAGTGGCTCGGAGACACCTTCGTTAACAACCGCACCGACTTCTATGATATACAAACTTCGGTAAGTTTTATTTGTAGACCTTTAACCAGTTTCGTGGCCTACATACGCTGGTTTACAATGGGCATCGCGATTCGATATTGTTGCACTGCTCGGTTTAGTTTCTTCTTACTTGGTATTTTCTTTTGCTACTATCGAATTTCAAATTAATATTGTACCTTAGTTGCATTGTGATGATCATGACCCATAAATATCTATTTCTTTCTTACTTGATGTAGGTAGTATGTTGGAATAAATCAGTAATTAACTAAAAACCCAAGTAATGCCATAAATTAGTCGAATTTCTCAGTGTTAAGGGTCACGCCAGGATAGGCGTGGTAATAGTAATTTCAAATGCTATGTTTTTTTTCTCCAGTTCCAATGCTGCGGCACAGTGGGTCCCCAGGTGTACCTGCCCGACCCGCTGCCAGCGTCGTGCTGCGCCGAGGAGCCCTGTCTCGCCGCCAACGCCTTTGATGGCTGCAACCAAGTCATCCAAGACTACCTCAGCGCCTTCTTGATCGCCATCGGGGCAGTGCTCTTGGTAGTCGCTGGTATTGAGGTAGGTGGCTCAGCATCTTCCCTTGCTTCTCTTTCTCTTCTTTCTAGCTGTCTGTTAAACAAATTAAGCCTATAGATAGGCACCATCACTGGTAACATTACTATCACTTGGGATAAACTTGACCTTCACTGGTTGGGTTTTTATTGGCGGTCAAGCTGTGGATCCTGGCTACACAGAAGTTGCAGCGGTGGGAACGAGAGGTGGGAATACTCCCGATATCTTTTTTTTTAAATCTTGTCTGTTAATAGAGGAAATCAATTCAAATGTAAAAGATAGAGTTCCCATATTTAACGATCTATAGATGATAATATAAGTATGTTTATCTAGTTCCCAGACCCACTAGTCTATTGACGACATTTTGAGATTTACCTACTATTAGCGATTGTATGTAACTGTTTTTTTGTTACAGCTGGTTGCGGCAATATTCTGTTTTTGTTTATCAAGGCACATTGATAACAAGCGGGCTGTACAAATAGTTAATTAAATTAAAATCATTAAAACAATCATTCATTAATTTCGTTTTTTATGTTTGTTATACTATTAATCCAACTTGTGTTTGCACCCTTTTAATATTTTACGCACCTAGCTAGGTATTATAATTATTTTCAAAAATGTTTTTGACTAGACTACATTATTTGAAATAAACTCATTTTTGACCAAATAATACAAAATGCAACCTAGTTCTTCACATTATGAAATATAATGTAATTGATCTAGTTTTGCTCTTAAATATGTATACGTACAGTAGCGACAGCACACCAGAATAACATTTCTGTTGCAGAACTTGTTGTACATTATTTATAAGATCCCAGAGATGTTAACGTTGGTGTGCCGTCGTTCGTACCAAAATGCATCTAGTTAGCTTGATTTAAGCTATTTATTTAATAGCAAATTCATAGATTTATTTTATAGAAAGAAAGTATTGTTGAACCACCTATAAAATCTTTAACACTTTTGTACTGAATAAAAAATATAAAACTAATAAGTACCTATGTGTGTTTAATTTCTTTTACACATTATTCCGTGATGGGTCAAGGTCACCCATAGGACGATGGAGAGTGCTATACTTGGAGTTTCCCTGCGCAATCAACTAGAGAAATGAGGAGATCCGCAAGAAAACCAAAGTGACCGAAATAGCCCGCAGAATTGCTACATTGAATTGCGCATTTGCGCATTGGGTGGGGCTCGTAGAGCTGATGGCCGTTGGGGCAGAAAACGTAGTGGACAGGCCTCTAGGTGGACCAAGGATCTGCTGAAGGTCGCAGGAAGTACCTGGATGCAGACAGCTCGTGGAAATTCTTAGGGGAGGCCTTTATCCAGAAGTGGCCACGTCATTTGACTGAAACAAACACGATTACCTGATGGTAAATGATGATGAGATCTAAGATGGAGCACGCTTACCAACTCAGTTTTGCTATATCCTTACAAGGTTATTTATGTATGTACTGAAATACTGTACTCGCTGTTATTCGAGCCCTTAAGCTTCCAGTTTCCATCACATCAGAGAGGCACATCCTCTCTCTGTTCACACCTTTTCAACTGATGGCGAAATGGAGTAAGTTTCACTTGTAAAGCTTCCATGATGTCCATTGTCTACTTTTAGTGTCAATGACATTTCTAGTAGAAGCATACCACATATTACACATTGGGTCAAAACCTGGAGCGACTGGCCAATACAGCTTACTACCTCAATCGTCGCGGACCACTGGTACTTGATAACAATCATTGCCAAACTATCGATAACCAATCATGAATGAAGAGAGATCATTATCATGTAAGTAATAGCAAATAGTCCATGACTCATTAATAATTCCATTTGATAAGGACGATGAAGTCACACCTGAAAAGCCTAACAATTGCTAAGACTCAAGTGATATCAACAATACTGACATAATTAGAGGTAAGTTTCAAGAAATCTAATACATATATCAATCAAGTATTACTAATTAATGAGATTTGAGATAGATTTCATAGATAACCCCAAAGCAAGGCCAATAATAAACGGTATTGTCATCGAGCCATAGAACGATAAGAGGCCATATTTTACATCATACACATAAATATCAACTGATAATTCTACATATTATTATGTCCATGTAAATAGATAATACCCAAATTGAATTTTATTAATATTAGTCATCCACCATGAAACAAGGACAAGGAAAATGCATTTTTTGTAAAATTATTAGGCAGGTAGTAAACAACTCTTGTGAGTTCTTTAGTTTCAACCTTCTAATTGTTTATGATTTTACGAACTGCAAAATTTTTCTCCACCAAACAAAGTTTCAGTGGTTGTGTTTTATTGGGCTGGCTACAACAGAGTTGTAGAGACAGCAAAAGGACTATTTTCGATGAAAATTATGCCCACATATTTGAAAAGCTACTTACAGCTTCATAGCTAAAAAAGGCGTAATTATGCATGCAAGTACTTACTTACCATTGAATTCTAGGAACCTTATTTTACTGTTATCTATCCATATCCTGCAATATCTAAACAGGCCTGATAACAGGCGGGGCTATATCTAACCCAAATATAGATTACACAGACTAGTCACTGCCAGGAAGTGTGTTCGCAACCGTGAAAACTCGTTTGTTTGAAAAACCATCAAAATGTGTTGTGCCGAGTTTTTAGTAAAATATATCCTGTTCTTCTTTAACTTTGTATTTACGGTAAGAGTTACTAGTATTAATTGCTAATTTGATACAGTAATAGGATAATAGTTGTCTAAGTTTTTTAATAGAGCAAATTAATTTCAATTAATCGTATAATTTATATTGCCTCCTTCCTGCAGCAAATGTCATGTATAAAAAATTATCCCTTAAGTTAAAAAATAAAGTTATTTCAAATTAATTAGCTAGTTATTATAATTTAGCTTTTGTTATAAAGAATCAACACTGATAAGGATAACACTAATTTTCAAAAAGAATTTACTGCTGTTTCGATTTGCCATGATTACGAATATCTATACTTATAATAAATCTGTAGAGAGGTCAATTCTGTACATGAAATATATTTTCAAAATAACTATCAGGGGGTGATTAGTGATCGATACTGATGCCAAAAATGCAATCAGTAAAATTTTTGTCTGTCTGTCTGTCTGTCTATCTGTCTGTCTGTCTGTCTGTCTGTATGTTCCTTATAGAAACAAAAACTACTCGACGGATTTTAACGAAACTTGGTACAATTATTCTTCATACTCCTGGGCAGGTTATAGGATACTTAGGAATTCCCACGGGAACGGGAATTAGCGGGAAAATCCTTTTGTTTGAAAAATCTAAACCGCTTAAGTTAGACGCTTGAAATTTGGCGTGCAGGTACCTTAGTAAACTTAAAGCTTAGTTACAACAGGATATTGCAAAATTCCCACGGGAACGGGAGTTAGCGGGAAAAAACATTTGTATGAAAAAATCTAAACCGCGTAAGATAGATGAAGGGGGTAAAACGGGATCCACGCGTACGAAATCGCGGGCGGCCGCTAGTATCAAATAATGCTAGATTATTTAGTTAATCCTTTCGAAAGGGGATTCCCTTTTTCATATAATACACGGATACACCATTAAACTGTTTTTACAAAATCTCATTTTTGATTACCGTAATTTGCAAAACATTTGCAAAACTTGTGAATCAGTGATTCTCTTCATAATCTATACTAATATTATAAAGAGGAAAACTTTGTTTGTTTTGTTGTAATGAATAGGCTCAAAAACGAATGGACCGTTTTTAAAAATTCTTTCATCATTCGAGTAACATAGGCAAAATTTTATTTTGGAAAAAAATAGCTAGTTCGTTATAATACTAAGAGAGCAAAAATGAAAAACCATATTGCGTTTGTTCTAGTCTGACATCTTTATTTTTTGTATCCTGCCCTTGACAATCAGTAATACAGCTACTTAATTCCCTTTCTCTAGCTCGCGGGCATAGCGCTCATCGGGCTGGGCATAGCCGCGCTGGTGCAGATCAACCAGATCGTCGACCTGATCCCCGTCCCCATCAATGGCATCCCCATCGCGATCATCGTGCTCGGCAGCATCATCTTCGTCATCGCCTTCTTCGGCTGCTGCGGCGCTATCAGGGAGTCCAGATGTCTGCTTACAATGGTATGCTTTTACAGCTTTTGGAAACTGTGCAGTAATCTTAGAACCTTCGTAACCTGACTTACTTGACTTATGGTCCTATGTCCCCTAGATGGGGCAGAGGGCGTCCACAACAGTCCTCCATCTCGTTCGGTCTTGAGCTTCTCGCTTGATCTCGCTCCAGGTCTTGCCGATATTCTTCGCCTCGTCCGCTACAGTGCGCCGCCAAGTTTGCCTGGGTCGACCACGATTGCGTTTTCCTTGGGGATTCCAATCCAGAGCCTGCTTAGGGATGTGATCGGGGTCCCTTCGGAGAGTGGGGCCAATCCAGTTCCACTTGCGGCGCTTGATCTGCTGGTCGATCGTAACCTGCGTGGTTCTTAAAGATTCAAATACGAAATATAAAATAATTCAAGAGAAACTGATAGCCGTTTAGATCACTTTTGTCGGTTTTTAATCTGTTCCTTTTTTCAAAATTTCTAAAATCATCCTTTTACTTTTCAGTATTTCATATGCATGGCCATATTGGCTGCTGGCAAAATCTACCTAGCGACCGTGATCTTCGGTGCTCTGGACACACTCCAGTCTACCGTGGAGGGATGGGTGGACACCGCCTTCGAAAAAGAAGACCTCAGGAAGGTCTTCCACGTACTTGAGGAAGTAGTAAGTGTCTTTGAAAACGAATAGAGTTCTGGATACACTATAATCTAGTTTTTACGTGGATTAAGATTTCCTAACTTTAAACGACGCGATGCAGCAAAGAGTGCTCTATGAACTAGTAATTTGTTATCCTAACCTTATCCTAGCGTGAATTGGGATGTAAGGGTTACCTAGAGCGAAATTTATTGTATCATCTCTCTTTACTCATAATAAGGGCTATGACCACCAAACGGCCGGTAACTATTGTTCCAATACAATGGATAAAAGAAGAAGAGTAAAGGTAAAAGTTCAAAGCCGACCACATGTAGCAGCAGTAAGCAACGTGTCGCCTTCGCGACTTCTGGTTTTTCAATGTTTCTATGAAGTATTATATCTTCGTACACAAGTACACTAGGTACACAAAAACCCAGTAGTATCATCTGCCCTGCCGCGTCACACACAGACTTTTAATCGGCCGATAGATAGTGTAACAGCCCGAGTAAACTATCGGCCGCCTAAAATCTGTAGTCTGCGGGGTGTCTATGCTGTGTATTAATAAATCACTTACCACACAGTTCCAATGCTGCGGTACAACGGGGCCAGGGTCTTACGTGGGCGTGTACCCCATCCTGCCGCCGACGTGCTGCGCGAGCGGCGTGGCCGAGTGCACCGACGAGCTGGCGTTCGGCGGCTGCCGCGCCCGCCTCGGCAGCTACTTCGAGAACTTCGGCGAGGCCATCGCCGCGGTGCTGATCGTCGTCATCGTTGTTGAGGTAATTATCACATCACTTATAACTTATACTGTTCACCAGCTTGTTGATGGATCTTTTTATCTGACTTATAAGCCGTTTCTATTGACATTCTTGCTTCTTGCTTAGATCTGAAAATACAGATACGGTGTTATAACATGACTCGACCTCACTCCGAAGAGTGTTTGACACTTTTGTTAGTAGCTATCATTCATTCTTGCTTCTCGCTTAGATCTGAAAATACGGATACGGTGTTATAATATAATTCGACCTCACTCCGAAGAGTGTTCCTGATTGTACCACCTTCGTGAGTTTATGAAATGAAATAGTTTTATCAGTACACAGGCCCTTTCCAGGGCACTAATACAAATAATATTAGACATATATCAAATACCTGCCTTGTCCAGCATTAAAAAAAAACATTTAGGCCCAGAACAGACGGTGAAACGCAACTGCAACGAAACTGCAACTGCTAGTTACTTTTGAGTTGCATCTAAGTTTCTACCATAGCGTCCGTTGAGAGACCACACATGACGCGACCAGTTTGAAACTTTCAGTTTCAGTATCATTCATCAGAATCATCAGAAAGTTGCAGTTTCGTTGCAGTTGCGTTTCACTGTCTGTTCTAGTTGATGATACCAAACACAATGCAAATAGTTTGACTTGCTCTTAACGAGCTAGATGCTCGACTTGGCGTCAGGTCTCCATGTTTATCCCAATTGATATCAGACTTTATGATCTTTGGAAACTGAAAGAGGTCCAAATAATAGGTCCAGATAACAGAATTTTAAATCAAATCAAATAAACTATAATTCTAGTAGCGAGAGATTCAATAGCCAAGCACGTGAGCAGAACAAGGTGGTAATCAGGTTGGATAAGGCATTGACTTAAATAGTACCACCTATTCCTAAAAGCTGTTAAATTATCTTAGATTACTGCGATATATTCAATACTTATCGAATCGCTGTTATCAAAGTAATCTATTCCGAAAAACAATGCGAGATACTAGCTAAAATCGTTAGGTGCAGCAAAGATTAAAGGAAAAACCCTTTGTAAATAGATCCAAATTCTTATTTATTTGCTATAAAGATAATGTAAATGTACCGTAATAAATCGATTATTTAACGTCGAACTTCAAATAGCATACATCCTTTATTACCTACTAAAAATATTGTGATAATAAATTCGGCGCGTGTCTACTCTAGGGTGGGAAAATGGAAAATGCATCGTGATCGGGCAGCGTTTGGTCTTGGAACTTTTCAGCCTGCTTTTCCTCTCACCTTATATTTCAGAAGATCAATGGAATATTGTTTATTTGCAGTTGGTGGCGATGCTGTTCGGTATGTTTATGTGCTGGTCGGTATCGGAGAAGAGACAGAGGGGCAGGTACTACTGAGCAGGCAACTATATCTAGAGACCGATGGGAATCATGTAATGTTTTGACAAAAAAGTATAAGATCTACTTAATGCTAAGTAATGAATCATTCTTTCTTCTCCAAGCTTCCGTTCTGTGGTATGGATCCCTAGTCATGTATAGATATTAGACACCACTGACCGAATCATAAATGATTTATTGCCATTTTTTATTACAAACAAACAAACTTTTGACACATAAAATGTATTCTTCTTGTGATCCCTATTTTAGAATTAACGAGTTATCAACGTTAATTAGTGTAATGACAATTTAAAATTAATATAAGAATCCTGCCTGAGTATTAATTAGCACAAAGTTACCTATAATTTTGTAAATATATGAATTCAGATTTAAATGTTTGGTTATCGTAATTTCATAGTTTTTCTAAAAACTCTCTAAGAGTTAGAATTAATTTAAATTGCAACAAAAATGTACATGACATGTGCTGTGTAAGTAAGTTCAGACTTTTTTCAAATTCAAATACGACTTTATAGTCTATCCAATCCAATATAGCTTGATTAGAATGACGGCTGTCAAACGAATGTGACTAGTGCTGGGTATGTTTCGTACGGTTCATATAGATGTATCGATAAGTTTTCGAAAAAATGATATAAAAAAATGCACCCAATTTTTCTTCATATCTTTATTCATAAAAATGACAATTATGATTTAAATTTAAAGACAGTAAAATTTAAAATTCATGTCAAGGGTGTACAACCTAAGTCGTAGTCATTATCATCAGTGTTCTTCAGTGGTTTTTTCCTCTCGCTAGAGGGCGGTGGGCATCTCTTCTAGAGCAACGGTGCTATGAATACCCAAAAAATTACCGGTGATTGATTTCCGATGTTTGATTATTTAAGAATGAAATGTTTTTTGGTTTTTAATAGTAAACATTTAGAAAAACGTATAACTTGACTTAAATATGTTAAAAAATTAGTTAGAAAAAAAAATTGTCAAAATATGTTAAAAATTTAGTTTTAATTTAATATGACATTTGTCGATATGTCCCAACACTAACATTTTTGTAACTCGAGATAACCTTGTAGAGACGTCGTTAATGCTCTAGCTTGATTTTTATAATTTCGAATTACTACTTATTGGTGTAATTTAACGCTGCATTTACACGAAATTAACATTTTTATTGGAAGCACTGTCGTCGAAAATATTGTTTGTAGGTCAGACGTGAATTATTTCTTGTCCGCCAATATTTAGCTCTCATTGATCGCTACTACAAAGTTATGTCGTTACTTTTGATGGCAGCTGTCATTCTAATCAAGCTATATTGGATAGACTATAGTACATGACCTAACCTTAGCCATTGCTTTTTGAGAAGATATCAAATCGTTCCTACTGCTTTAAATTCAGTAGAGCGTCCAAAAAGAACTAATTACTAGATGTTGGTAAGAACTGATTGTAATTAGTTATTACTGATTAATTTTAAAATGTTTGTTTAAGTATTTATATTTTTAAGTGATCGATGTTTTGTATTAAATTTATTTTTTAATGAAAATATTTGATTTATTTATCGTTTGTTTACCCATGCCTAAAATATAATAATAAACGCAAACATCGATATTTCGCCTGATTTCTATTTATAAAAGGGCCATCATATTTATTTAAATGGATGACAAGCTGATCGTCTAAAAATATAACTTTCCCATAATGCTGAAATAAACTTTTATTTTATTCAGTAACTCGCCTACCTGCAGTGCTTGACATCCCAACTAACATTTTTTTTGGTAACAAGAATAAGTGCTATTGAAGTACATATATTAGAGAATTTTGATTTTTGGTCATAGAATAAGTTAGATGTAATAAACAAAGGTTCAAAAATGAAATAAATATCGCAATGACCTTTATTTACTTACTAAATAACAACACGATTCATTTTATCATTAGGGTCTTTGTACATAACCATCGTAAGGAATGCCTTCATAATATAGATTCTTCGTTGTGCAGAGGTAGACGCTCAAAAGTATATAAACAATCTGTAACAAAATTATAAAACGCATTAGGTAGGTGTAATCTCTATCAGTATTAAAGTGGCCCTAAAGTGCCCCTTAAGGGCTACCTTTTCTTTTTTTATTATTTACATTTTGACGTTCATAAGTGCCACTTGTGGTCTAAACTGAATAATTATTTTTTGATTTTGATTTTTTGATTATTATATTATATCTGAAAAGACAAATTAATGTTATAAAAACTTGCATTAAACCGCTACTTTAGGAAATAACTGTTACCTACTACTATTTAACTATAACGTCATGTAGCAATTTCCACAATAGACAACATTGCTTCTAATATTACAAAATGCCTTTAAAAATTCCAAACTAGAAATATATTGGTTTCTAAACGAGTTCGGAATTAACGTCCTATAACTTTATTTATGTACAAGCAAACCAGTATATTATTATGTAGGTATCTCAAACATAGAAACTAAAACTTTATTTTGAACATGTTTTTGGAAGAAACTTTTAGAGCTTTTAGAAATATGTACAGGGGACGCTTAAAATAACTTTTGCAAGAAACCTAAGTAATTTTGATCGTCCATTCATGGCGCTATTTGCGTGAAGATCAATTTTAACGAAGATAGTAAATATGTTCGTACCTCCACTCCTATGACTCCCGCCCACACGGACATCACGAAGGAACTGTGGGTGAGCCGGAACACCGGCTGCGTGTACATGCCCAACTGCAAGAATATATTTACCTATTACCAAAAAAATACCAAAAAATTAAACACCTAACATTGACATTTACATACTGAGGCTGAGTTGCACCACTTAACTTCAACCGTAACTTTAATGATGACTGGTGTTTTTTTATGGAGGTTGACAGATTTTTGACGTTTGTTAAGGTTAAAGTAAGATGGTGCAACCCAGCCTAAATGTCAATTTAAACACCTTTGTTCAATATTTCTAATAAGAACTTACAATTGGCCTGACCCACTGGACTGCTTCCTCTTCTTGCGTATCAAGCTTGCTGAATAAAGAGAGGAAAAATTTTCCTGCGTCCTTCATTATCCCTGTTGCCTCTGAAATTGCCTGGTAGCCCTCCTTCCCTGCCTGTATGCTAGAATCCACTTTGTCCTTTATGTTTCCCGCAACATCTTTCAATGAACTCTTAACAGCATTCGTGCTGTCCCCGATGATACTCCCAGCTTTGTTCACTGTATTTCCAGCAAAATGCTTTACGTTATCTAAAATACCTCTCGGAAAACGTCTGGTTAAAATTGGTTGATCATCAGCATTAACATCCAGGTGATCAGGTTCCTGAATATAACCCGCGTTCAACAGATCCACCCCAGCTGTGGGATCCATCGTCAAGGCGCTAGCCACAGGCCCCGAACGCGACGTCTTCTGGTGACCCAAGTGCATGACAACGGCAATGAATATGTTGAGAACGACGAAAATTGTGAGCTCGATGGTGTACTGAAAATAAATAATGTATCGGCTTACTAATCTGTACGTAATGCTACCTTCTCGCACACTTTCATGAAAAATCATGGAACGATACACTTTTAATTCTTGTGTGTTACGACTTACCATGACCAGCAGCCATTTACCAACATTTCCTTTAAGAATGGCTCCACAGCAGCCGATCAGAGTGGCTAGGCAGAGTATAGATCCTAGCACCAACAGGTGTGTGGGCAAGAACTCGAGTAAGTCGAGTCGCAGGAGGTGGACAAGGGCCCTCGGCAACATGCGATCGAACACCTGGAACACTAGCACTCCCGCTATGGCGGCGCCGGCGCCGATCGCCTACGAAAAGAACATTGTAAAACAAAATAATGAACTTTTAAATTAAAGATCATTGGATTCTTAATTAATTGTTGTTGAATGAAAAAAGCATGAAATGCAGCAGTGATATTTAATTTAAATTAATATTAGCTAGGTAGCTTTGTTAGTAATTATTAGATAATAACACAAATAATATAATACTAGATAATAATAAAGTTCACGCGGCTGACGTCGCGACAAAAGCTAATTTATATCACATTACATACATAAGTACCGTGAATTTAAAACGGCGAAAAACAAATAGGCCTGCATTTTTAACCGACTTCAAAAAAGGATGAGGTTCTCCATTCGAGTGTATGTTTTTTTTTTTGCAGTTATGTAATAAAATGTTTCACTTACTGATGCAATTGCACAAGAGAAAAATAAAAAATATTTTATAAGCCACATCGTGAAAAGACTCCTCGTAATTAATTGATAGATTTTAAATATTTATTAATTAACCACACAAATAATATAATACTAGATAATAATAAAGTTCACGCGGCTGACGTCGCGACAAAGGCTAATTTATATCACATTACATACATAAGTACCGTGAATTTAAAACGGCGAAAAACAAATAGGCTTGCATTTTTAACCGACTTCAAAAAAGGATGAGGTTCTCCATTCGAGTGTATGTTTTTTTTTGCAGTTATGTAATAAAATGTTTCACTTACTGATGCAATTGCACAAGAGAAAAATAAAAAATATTTTACAAGCCACATCGTAAAAAGACTCCTCGTAATTAATTGATAGATTTTAAATATTTATTAATTAACCACAGGTAGGTACATACACTGTGTCAACTTGGATAAAAGTAAATAAAATATTGCAAGCACATTATTTATTTGTTCATCATTATTATTTAATTTTATCAGATGACACAATGTCTAAAATAATAAGGCATAACAGGAAACTGCTGCTGATTTATTTTGCACTCGCTGAAAGAGTCAAAAGTAACGTTTCCTTATTCTTAAAATAAATAAATAAAAATAAATTTCAATTGACAGGTAACTATTTCAATTGATACCTACAGCACGTAAAAATCTATGGAAATGCTTTCATCCAATAAATTATGCTTGAAAAAAGCTCTTTTGGTTAATGCTGCATATTTTTGCCTATCAGTCTTCTATTATCCGTCTCTAAATACCTATTTACAATTTTTTTTTTGAATTTATGCACTTGCCTTGCATGTAACGGACCTCTGCATTAGACTCATACGTGCCAAACTTATTTAACTCCGAGTAGATATCTTATCCCCGACTCGAGAGAACAGTTAGACCAAATCCATCATGTAGAGCTTATAGTAAATATTTTTTCCTTTTTATGTACCATTTAAATGACGTAATCATTCAAAATTAGCTTTTGTGTAGCTAAATAACTTTTAGCACCAAAACCAAGGTGTTGTGATCAGCTCTGTTAGATGACTGCGCTGACAGGTGCAAATTTAACCCGGTCAGGGTTGTCAATTATATTTGAAAAGTGTATCCTTCAAATATAATTTTACAGCTAGCTAGCATTGTGTAAAAGTTAAACTTGTTAGTGATTATTCTTCTTGGTTTTTGAGAAGAGAAGAGCAGAACTGTTCTGAAATCTAAAT